AATCCACTGGTGGCTTCTTGGGGGAAAAGACAGGCAGTCTCCTCCCCAGATCCCAGTGGAAGGTCAGCTATGAATCAGTTCCCACTCGGCAGCAGTGAGTGAGTGCTGAGTAGGAAAGGATATGGAAAGGTACTGCTTAAAGAGGAAAAAGCTGTGTTAAAGGTAATGAAAAAATGTGGACATAGACACTGGTGGTGTTGCCCAATGTGTTGTGTGCCACTGAGTTTATTCTGAGCCATGACGACCCTACAGAAGAGTAGAGCTGTTCTGCTGGGTTTCCTAAGCTATAAATACTTGTGGACACACACATCTTTCTATCTTGGAGCAGCCAGCAGAGTAGAACTATTGACTGTCCTTTGCATTGTTATTATTGTGTACTGTCCAGTCAGAACCAACCCACAGCCGACCCTCTGGCGGGTTTTCAGAGGCAGTTAATCGCATGGGAGAAGATTGTCCATCCTTCTCCCGTGGAGCAGCTGGTGGATTTCAACCACGTGCCTTCAGGATTGCAGTGCAGTATCTTGCCACAAAGCCACCAGTGGCCTTTCCTTTAGCCACTGCGCCTCCAGGGCATCTGTCTGCACAACATGGGGCATGTAAATAAGGTCTCTGGATTTTACACACAAAAATGGTTAAGATAGCAAATGTTTTGTTATATGTATTTCACCATGGTAAATTAATTAAAAAAAAAAAAGTAGACTCTGGACACCCCTTAAGCCCTGTGGAAGGTGGCAGGCTGGAAATCTCTGCTGTACTCTATTAGTCCATCATAGAACCTAGAACCCCTGCAGAGCCATAGTATCTCTTTGGGGCAGGTGGAGATAGAAGAAGTCCCATTAGTATACATTATTGAACCCAAAAGGGATATGTGGTTAGGTATTTGTCATGACAGGAGTCCAGAGCAAAGGCTGCATAGTGGAGTGGACCTGGGGGGAGGGATTGTAAAACAATGAAAGAATTTTTCTTTTACTTTTCCAAGAGGGCAGGGTACTGGGGGGAGGGTTGGGAGCAGGAAAAGTGCAACAATGAATGAATGGAAATCCAAAGTCTCTGTAAATTGTCATTGAAATTAATAATAAATCAGTAGTTCGAGTGCACCTTGAGGAAGAAAGATGAAGCAGTCTTCTCCTGTGAGGGTTTACATTCTCAGAGACCCAACAGAGGCGTCACTGTAATGGAAATAGACAGGATGGCAGGGGACTTGGTGGAGGAGATTTTAGGAACTTGTTACATAGAAAATGCAAAACATGGTGACTGATGGAGCAGGATGCCACCTCACCCCAGAGCTTGTCCTGATGGGATTGGAATGGCTGACTCACCAGTGCTGATAAAGTCATGTGTCTACATATGCGTCCTCTCTGTGCAAGTGGCTGCGAATCCACATCTCAGCCCCATCGCCTGACCCAGGACCAGGGCCAGAAGAGCCTTGTGTAAATATTTGTTCAATGAAGCTGTTTATTCTTCATGGAGCCATGTCTCAGTTTTCAATTCATTACTGATTAACATGCCGCCTATGCTTCTGTCATATTAGGCACAGAAAGTAACCATTAAGTTAATATCTGTCTATTGATAAACCTGCACTAAATGTCTAGTTCCTTGTTGTGCCCTCATCTCCCTCCTTACACACCCTGTTGGCTGGGACAGCTGAGTCTCCCCACTGGTCACCTGAGGAGCAGGTGTGACAGAGTAGCTTTAGCTCGGTGAGTGGGAGATTTCAACCCCTCACTTACCCGACGACATCTCACCTTAACCCAGACACAAAACAACCCTAAGATCCACACATTGAAACAATGTGCAGGTGTTGTATGTAAAATCACAAAAAGGGGAATAACTAAGTATTTCACACATTAGTGGCTAAGTGAATAAAGTATGATACATTGACTAGGTGGATTGACATGGTGACTGCTGCAATGGGCTCTTGTGTGTCAGGAAGTGTGAGGATAGCACAGGATAGAACAGAGTTCAGATCTTTTGTTTATGGGGTCACTATGAATCGTGCTCGACTCCGCAGCACCTAACGACATCATTTTTTTTAATTGGTAAAAACATGTTGGGGATACACGGAGGTGAGGGTTGGGAGCAGAAAGGTGAGGGTGGGCATGGATGAAAATTGCAGGGATGCAGTTGCAAGGCTGCACAGTTTGGTTGGTGGGGGGGGAGCAGGTGAAGGAAATGAAAAGAATCCAGTGGGGACCAGATGATACAGGGCAATGGTAAGCATAGTCCAATGGTGATTAAACAAACTGTCTTTTTCACTTGGAGGTTTCTCATTTGGGAATTGGGCACAGACTCTCTGGCTTCTTCATGCTGAACAGGGGCATTGATGTGAAGGGGGAAAGGGAGCACACTTTATCACCTTACTGGTGGTCTTGGGTTAAAGCTTCTTGCCTTCTTGTTCTGTTAGAAGATATTTTCCTGACACTTACTCCCCTCTGGACTGCAAAGTGTTTTCCCAGGTGGGTCCAGTTGAGATGGCTGACTGAACCCTGAGGCTCCATCCTCCTTTGCCTCCTTAACTGGCCATTGTATTTCCTTTTTATCTCTGGAACTGGGTTCAGGGTCAGGTCTGGAGTAAAACTCAGTGTTAAGGTTACCTATAGAAAAGGTAGCAAATCTAGAGAGGACAAACTTGTGAGTTACAAATAGAAGGGCTTTGGGGTTGTTATGTACGGGTGTACTGGGGGAGAGGGTGGAGGAAAGTAGCCTCGATAAAATTCTCTGTATACCCTAGGCAGTTTTTTCTATCCAGGGGTCGGGTGGCAACCCCCGTGGGCCAGGCAACACACCCCAGGGGCTGGCTGGCACACTCCCCTCCCAATGTCCCCCCCCCCAAGTCTGGACCCCACGCCTCACTGAAGACCATGTGGCCAGGGACAGCGTCCCCAATTCTGGTACCATCACCATTGCCCTCCCATAAGTGGTCATACTGTAATTTGAAGTAGGTGTCACTGCCCTCCCATTTATAAATGGTGAAGGGGACCTGAGAGTGGTGAACAGACCCCTCCCAGGTCTAAACAGTTCTTGGCAAAGGCAGACAGCAGATCAAAAGATGTGGTACATTTAGGATGTCTACTGTCTAAGACATACTGCCACAGTTAAATGTAGTTGAGTCGTAGAGAGCTCACAGAGACTCTCATCAATCCATTGTACTGGTAATCTTCCTCTCTGGCCTGCCCAGGGAGACCCAAACCCGCCGCCCTGTCTCCTGCCGCCACCATCTTGGCTCCAAGAATTCTCCCCAGAACCAGTCCACTCTGCTGTGGTGTGGCGGCTCTGCTGCACCAGCCTGGGGGGCGGGGGGCAGTGTCCACCGTCCATCTTGGGTGAGGGTATCCCTGGGGTCCAGCAGTGGGAGCCTTGTGGAGCTGCGGCAGCAGCATGGGCTTGGCAGCAGGGGGCTTGGAGCCGCTGGACTCACCCATTCCTCCCTGGGAATCCTTGATTTCCTGAGGTTGAGCCTCAATCCGCAGGGAAGACCAGTCATCAGCGATTAAACCGTTCAATTATCAATAAACAAAGGTCTGTAGAAGGCCATGGTGATCCTCCTCCATGTGGTCCACTGCTCCTGCAGCTCGCCACGTTGTTTCCGGCACCTAACAACATCTTTACAGTAGACTCTCAGTATCGAATGCAGATGATGTAGGAGAAAAACAACATAGCCTGCAGTTCATCATTTAAGTGAAAGCATTAGATTACCAAATAGATCTAAATTTGTTTAGAATCATATTAGTTCAAATTTTATCTATAATACATATGTGTATGTTTTGTTGTTGTTGTGTACCACTGAGTTGGAACTGACCCAGAGCTGACCCTTCAGCAGGTTTTCAGAAGCAGTTAATCGCACGGGAGGAGATTGCCAATCCTTCTCCCACAGAGCAGCTGGTGGCACCGAACCGCGTGCCTTCAGAATTACAGCGCAGCTTCTTGCCACTAGGCCACCAGAGTGCCCTACATCTATGTATATACATCTATAGATATGTAAGGAGCCCTAGCAGTGTAGTACATACCATATCAGGCTACTAACCAGAAAAGTTAGGGAACTCTGGTAGTATAGTGGTAGAAAGATGGGCCATCTCCTCCCGTGTGATTTACCACCTCTGAAAACCCACTGGAGGGTCAGCTGTGAGTCAATTCCAACTTGACAGTACATACTAATATCCACCCCATAGGAGAAGGATGAGCAATTCCCTCCTCCCATAAAGATTTATAGCCTCAGAGACCCAGTGGGGAATTAAATACAAGTAAGAACCAACCTGAGTTTTGTTAATATCTGTGTGTATGTATGTCTACATATACAAAAGTATATACATATTTATACACACATATATGTGTACACACACACACACACACATATATGGGAGCTCTGGTGGCCTAGTGGCAAGAAGCTGTGCTGCAATCTGGAAGCACATAGTTTGAGTCCACCAGCTGCTTCATGGGAGAAGGATGGGCAGTCTCCTCCTGTGCAATAAACTGCCTCTGAAAACCAACTGGAGGGTCAGCTATGGATTGGTTCCAACTTGATGCTAACAACAGCAACACACACACACACTCCCCCCCCCCCAAGTATATGGAGTTCTGGTGGCCTAGTGGCAAGTAGCTGTGCTGCAGTCCTGAAAGCATGTGGTTCAAATCCACCAGCTGTTCTATGGGAGAAGCATGGGCAGTCTCCTCCCATGCGATAAACTGCCTCCTGAAATGCACTGGAGGGTCAGCTGTGGGTTGGTTCCAACTTGATGGGTATGCATATGTGTATGTATTTTATGCTAAAGAGTCGCAGGCTGTCTCGTAGCAGCAACATAAACATCACCAGGGAACTTGTTAAAATCCAAACTCTTGGTTCCTAGCCTAGACCACTGCACCGAAAGCTCCTGGGTGTGATGTGACAGTCTGTTAGTGTCTGGGTGATTCTATGCACACTTAGGTCTGAGATCCACTAGCTTACGTACCGCACTCTTGCCCCATCTCATTCCTTTGAACTCAGCTGTGTGCTTTTTCTGCAGGCCCTGATCCAGCTGCCCCCCTATATCTCTCAGTGTGATGAGGTGCTTCAGTTCTTTGAGACAAGACCCGAGGACTTGAATCCCCCTAAAGAGTAAGTTGGCTTATGCTTCTACCTAGCATGTCTTCTCACAGCTGTCCTTGTGCCATGCCAGCCTGCCCCGGGAAGGGCTGCAATGCCACCAAGTGAAACTCAAACTGGATGCCGTGGATACCAGGCCTTCTGTTCATTTAACCTCACCCTCACTGAAAGGGGGCCACTGTATTTGAGATTTATGGGTAAAGAACCCTCTACTGAGTACACCATTCTGTAATCCTGGGACTCCTGCACCAGCTTGCTGCACGTGTCAGTGTGTTGACGCTGAGTACACTGAGCCCCAGCGGTGCAGGGATAGGGAGGTATGAATGAATAAGGAAACTCAATCCAGTTCCCTTGCTGAGTGACATTGCTGAGTTATGATCCTGGTCAGGGCCTTCAGAGCTGATTGGAAACTTCCATCGCAGCTCCTGCCTCCCTGTCATGTTCTTCACAACAGGCAGATAGAGGCTGTCAGTGTGTATCCATCAGCCCCAGCCACACATATACCATGCATGATCCAGACACCCCACAGACTTCAGATACCACCTGGAATTCTAAATGCCACCTGCCTGCCGTCATTTTACAGACCAGGAGGTGCTGGCACTACTAGCCCAGCCGTTGTGAAACACTGACGTACACATGCCACTTTTTTAATAGACATACTCATTTTTGTTCCTAATATGGTAAATGTATAAGTAACAAAACATTTGCTATTGGAACAACCTTTACATATAATATTTAGTGTCATTAGTTATGTTTCTAATGATTTTCACTCCAAACCATTAACCATTCCTGTATTTTTCTTAATCACCCTAAACAGAAGCACAGGATTCCCTCACAGCACTTTCTTAAGGCCTTTTCTGGATTATATTGTGTCTTGCGGAAAGAAGGGTCTAGCTACTACAGAACTAGCAATAGGAGGAGGAGGAGGGCAGCCCGCCGGTGCTGGGACTGTCCTGGGGTCACAGAGCAAGAGCCCCGCAGAGCCTGGAGGCCCTTTGGAGCCTACCTCAAGGTCTGAGGTTTGCCAGCCATGCTCACTTCTCACTGGAGAAGCACGTGCTGCTGCTCTTGGCACGGGGCTTGCTTTTCTCCAGAACAACAGTAATAACCAAGCTTCCCATGTGTTAAACAATTGCCCACTAGGTAGTATGCTAAGCATTTTGTGTGTGTCAAGATTGAAAGACTCATGTTGGTTTTTGGAAATGAATCTGTCGAAGTCACAAAGCTTATTATTTTTCAAATAGACCTGTAAGGAGAACACCAAGGCAGAGGGTGTTGGTGCTTTCTGATCAACAAGTGAAGTCAGATCATTCCTATATACACGGCCAGCGGCAGAATCGAGTTGAGAGGTCAGGTACAGTGGGTTGATCACTGGACTAACGGTTTAACTGCCACCTAGATGAATAAGCTTAACGTCGTCCTGCAGTAAAGTTATTCGAATGAATACCATTTCCTATGACAAGCCTGGAGTGAATGCAGCTTCTCATAGTCGGCACGCATAATCATGACTCTGAAATCTGAAAAAGAAAATCTTGCCTAAGAGTGACTGTAAACCTTTTGAAGCCAGAATGTCAAAAAGGAATGTCTTGCCAGCAACATGAGCCAATACACAGTTTCATGAGTTGAAAAAAGAAGGAAAACTACTGAATAAATATGAACCTAATGATATCAAGTCCATCTTGGCCGATAGTTCTGTTTTTCTTGTTATCAGTGTTTATATCTGGCAAACATTCCTAAATTTTTCTTGATCCACTAACATATTTTCAGAGCGCCTTTGTATATAGTTCCCCGAGGGCTTCTCGAGATAAATTGCCAGGAGCCTCTGGCTTTAATTACAATTTCTAGCCAACGTGAATCAGAGAATATAGAGCTAAAAAAAATCCCAGAGAGCTTATAGTGTTCTGTTTCCGTATCGTTCTGCCTCAATCCTGCTGATATAAGGATCGTTGTACCCATTTTACAGATGAGAAAATTTAGCCTGAATAAAAGAGACTAACTTAAGATCATTCTGTTTGGAAAATTAAGCTAAATTTTTCTAGGTTTGCCCAAGTCCACACCTTCAGCTCTGGAAAGCCTCTGTGTGTACCTCTGTGTGTACGTGAGCAATGACACAGATGAGTAGAACGCAGGCTTGTAATCTGGTGCACACAGGTTTAAATCTTGCCTCCGTCACTCATAGGCTATGTTGCATCCACAGTTCCACCCTGATAAATCACCCTTTTTTCCTGATTCACCTTTGAGCCTCAGTTGCCTTCACTGTAAAATGGGAATAGCAACATTCCCTGGAAATAGGGTGGGGATAAGGAAAAATTTCAAGAATTTGACAAGTGCTAAAAAAAAAAGTGGTGGACTCACACCCACCTACAGCTGCTTTGGCTTCAGGTTCTACTTTTCAACAGTTAATTGACATGGTCAACTGGTTGACCCTCAGTGACAAAACGTGCTAAAGTGGATGAGCAGGGATATTTCTTGCCTTGAGCTCCAGTGTCCTCTTTTGTGAGGTGTACCTGGTAACACTTCCGTCACTACACTGAAGAATCAAAGGAAGCGTAACGGGAGTTGGATGAGGGGAGAGACAGTGTGCCATTAAAGGGTGAACAGCACAGAGTCACTAGAGAAAGGGAGGACACAGATGCGTAACAAGAGACACAGACATCAGGTAAACGTTATTATGTGCACAGTCCTACACTAAACAAAAGGAAATGGAAAGAGAAAGAGCACATGTCGCTTCCTGTCCATGGGCAGAAGGAAGGTGCACAAACCACCTGAGGGAAAGAGTTGACTTCAGGCATAGGTTCCTCAGGTTGCTGGCTCTGCAGAGTCTAGATTTTCTTCTGCTTCCTCTCAGTGACCAAAGATCTTGACTTTGAGAAGAGGTCATGGACCACTTGAAGAATCCAGTGAAAGGTTTCTTTCCTCTCTCTGGAAGTCCTCGATTGTGCTTACTCCCATCCCTGGGCTAAGGTGCTGAGCATTTGAGCCAGAGAAGATTCGCAGTGGCATAGGGCATGATGGTTACCATTTAAGAAGCCCTCATAGCCCTGCCAGTGTTGCTGCTTAGATTTCTTTGGTTCTCTGCCTGGACCAGAGTGGTTGTGACAGGGTGGCCAGAGTGGTCCCTAACCTCTGAGTGAACATCAGACTTATCACTGTAACGAAGTGGGTGAGAGCCAGGACTAGCCAGTTGTGCTTTTGAAGAGCCTCTGTGGTTTTCATAGAGGAAGGAAGGGCTCTCGGGGAAACTGGATGGGAGCCAGCCCTCTGGGAGACCAGAAAGTCAGGACACACCAAAAGATAGGTTGGTCACTCTCCGTGGCTCCTCTCGTTGCTGGCTTCCGCAGTATCTTCCCCACTTGCTGGCTGGCTTGAGACAGTGCAGGACCAAGAGTTCTAGATGCTGGGCCACCCCCACCAAGAGGGCCTGCATTTCTCACCCATTCAGCAAAAAAATGTATGTTGAAGGCCTGTGTTTACCAGGCCCAATACTGGGCACCAGAACACAGGTGAACACTCAACAGACACAGCCCTGTGTGCCTCCTGGGAGCACACAATCTAGGAACAAGACACATCCATCACACTCTCTCCATTTCTGCCCGAGATGCCTCGTCCATAAAGTGAGATCATATCACATGGCTTGTCCATGTGAACAAAGGATCTGAATCCTGCCCTATTCTGTGCCATTCTCATCATCTCCGATACACACCAGGCCACCATTATAGTCACTTTGTCAGTCATTGAAGATCTCTTCCTTCATTGACCCTCTCCCTTTCCAAGCATGATATCATTTTCCAAGGACTGGCCCCTCCTAGCAACATGCCCAAAGTATGTAAGATGAAGTTTCACATACAGGCTTATGTTGTTTTGTTTGTTGTTAAGTGCTCTCAAGTCGTTTGCCACTCATAGCGACCCTATGTACAACAGCCCTAAACCCTGCTCTATCCTGTGCCATTCGCACTGCCTCTGACACACCCATCCCGATTACCCCAGTCACTGAATCAGTCCATCTCATAGAGGGTCTTCCCCTCCTGCGCCGTCCCTCCACCCTCCCAAGCATGATGTCCCTCTCCAAGGACCTGTCCCCCCTTGCAACATGCCCAGAGTATGTCAGACTAAGCCCCAAAACCCTTGCCTCCAAGGAGTTGCTTGGTTTAATCTTCTCCTGGATGAATTTGTTTGTTTTCTTGGCAGTCCATGGTACATTCAATACCCTTCTCCAGCACCACAGCTCAAAGGCATCAATTCTTCTTCTGTCCTTCCTAGTCATTGTCCAACTCTCTGATGCATAACAAGTGA